GCTTCTGTGATTATGTGAAACCCAGCCGAGACCGGCTCTCAAGAGATTTCGAGAGTGGCACAGTTGACTCCCATCAACCGATCATTGACGGCTCTGGTTTCGGTGTCAAAGCATGCCTTTGCACTTGCATGCCGTCTGCGCATGCTTCTTCCGAAGTGCACCGAAGTTTACAGCCTTCGTGTGTCGTGCAGCGGACTGACATCCCGCTCTCACGGTAAATGCGAGGACCAAGGACTATCAAATCCGTACTCATTCCGAGCCCATTCCCATCATTTGGTCGGGAAGGCTTGGGCGCGAAGGACACCCCAGTATCGCAGAAGGTAATCGGGCCGAGCGAGACGCTCCTTGGCTGTGGTATCTAATTCGGAAAGTCTGTCAAGTGGAGCGGGGGCGGACCCAAAAGAGGCAAACAGGGTGGTGTTCAGCCCTAGCATAGCCGAACTCCATGGCATGGAAAGGTAATAGCACTGTGCGCGATCGGCTTCTGATGTGTACACTGCTGCGATGACTTGATCATTGACGGTGAAATCGTAAATCTGCACCAGAAGCCTCAACAGCAGTGTGTCTGCCTGCCTGCGCCGTGGGTGCAGAACCTCTTTATGTAGCCTCGGCTTTTGTTTTAAGACCAGGTTCCAAGCTGGGTCCCACTCCTTTGCCACCGTGACAACCTCGTTGCAGGAGTTGACAGTCAAGTCATTGTCAGCCAGGTTGTTATTGGTAGGTATCAGTTGAATATTGTCATCATGACTGCTGGTAGAGAACCCAATGTAGCAAGGAACAAATAGAAACAGCAGTGGAAGTAGAAGCTGCGGGAGTTGTAGTACATGTCCGGTACTAAAGTTTCGTCGCATCCGCTAGCAACACTGAACGGAGTACGCGGAGTACGGGATGTGAGGAATACCCTAGCCTGGCCAGCGGAGGAATTATCATCCGGGAATGAAATTATAGTACTATAATTGTTCCCGGCGGAGGACTTCTGGAGGAGTCTACGGGGAAAAGGGGTCTTGAACACACATGTTGTAAGTGGACAACATAGAGTGCGACGAACTTTCGGACCGGCGCAGCATGGATTCGGGTGCGTCTCGTGGGGCAGAAGTGAAACCGTGGCAAACAAACATGTGCAAGTGCATGTGTAGATGTGCCACTACATACACAGGTGCATGAGGGTCTCTTGCAGCGACGCTTTCAGTCCAAAACTCGTTTCCATGAGCAGCATGGATTTTTCGGACCGGCGCAGCATGGATTCGGGTGCGTCTCGTGGGGCAGAAGTGAAACCGTGGCAAACAAACATGTGCAAGTGCATATGTAGATGTGCCACTACATACACAGGTGCATGAGGGTCTCTTGCAGCGACGCTTTCAGTCCAAAACTCTTTTCCATGAGCAGCATGGATTCGGGTGCGTCTCGTGGGGCAGAAGTGAAACCGTGGCAAACAAACATGTGCAAGTGCATGTGTAGATGTGCCACTACATACACAGGTGCATGAGGGTCTCTTGCAGCGACGCTTTCAGTCCAAAACTCTTTTCCATGAGCATGTCCGGTACTAAAGTTTCGTCGCATCCGCTAGCAACACTGAACGGAGTACGCGGAGTACGGGATGTGAGGAATACCCTAGCCTGGCCAGCGGAGGAATTATCATCCGGGAATGAAATTATAGTACTATAATTGTTCCCGGCGGAGGACTTCTGGAGGAGTCTACGGGGAAAAGGGGTCTTGAACACACATGTTGTAAGTGGACAACATAGAGTGCGACGAACTTTCGGACCGGCGCAGTAGTAGCAGTAGTAGTAATAGTCGCCGTCGTAGTGGTAGTAGTAGGCGAAGTGGCCTTGTAGTGGTCGTGGTAGCAGTGGTGGGAGTGGCGGCGGTAGCAGTAGCAGCAGCAGCAGCAGGAGCAGCGGTATCAGTATCAGTAGCAGAGGCGCTGGAGTAGGAGTCGTGTATGTTAGCCCTAGGCAATGTAATGTACAAAAAACCCAACGCCGTAACAGTGGCTTACCACGTCTCCCAGTGCCGTCCTAATGGCTTAACCGTGTATGTTAGATTCGGTAATGTAAGGTAACAAAAACCCAATGCCATAGAAATGGTTTGCCACGTCCCCCAATGCCGTCATAATGGCTTCACTAGTATTAAACTCTATATCTATCTATATCTATCTATATATATATGTATATATATATATATATGTATATATATATATATATATATATATATATTATAATTATATTTATATTATTTATGCACGAACTACCCTGAAAGTGAAACTAAGCACCTCGGGATAGGCAAAATGCCTGCAGACGCAAGTGATGCCAAGCACGACTTCGTGAGATCAAAACCAGTGGCCCGACCCCTGCTTCCCCTCCCTAAACTTAGGCACTCGATCCACTACTTCTTGAGCCACCAAACTCGGATAAAATCCAGCCAGCCCCAAACAACACACATGGATAGCAACCAGGACGGGCGATAATATCCCCGCCCCAAGCCCCTGGATCCCAGCCGCCACCAACAGACCCCTATGAGTAGGAGTAGGAATAGGAGTATAGTAGTAGTGGTGGTGGTACTAGTTCGAGTACAAGCACATGCCCTAAACCCTACACTGTGGTACTGGTCAAGAGACCCGGCGTAGCCAGAACCCTTTGCGCGCGCCTCACATCACTCCCGCAAGAGTGGCACATAACATCTTAGCTGCTTTACCTGTGCTGCCACGTAACGCCCAAACTCGCATTGCTGTCTTGGGCCAGCAGTTCGCCTTGAAGATTCTCCTTCGTTGAAAGATGAAAACGGATGGCTTTGATGGCTGTCTAGAGTCTAGAGGTGTCGGATGTCGCCACGAAGGTATGCTTATCTAGGGAATCGTTGAAAGTTGCTCTGATGAGTTATTCTGGAATTGGCAGCTCCTGCGATTCCTTCAGCAGTGATCCAGGTCGCACACCGCCAGCGAATAAAGGAGACGTGCTCAACAGCAGCAGCTTTAGCCAAGCCATGCTGCTGTGAACACGGGACGGACTGACAATAGAAAAACGAAAGCCCAAGCTGCTTGTGCAACTGAACGCTGCAGTGAGCCGATGCGTCGCAGAATCAGGTATGGACGGACAGGGTTGCTCAACCCATCAACAAAACTTCAAACGCTTCCGAACTCACGCTCCATCTGGCTGAAGAGCTACCGTCCAGGCATCTGAGTACATCACCGATGAGCTGGGAAAGCCATGCTCAGGCTCAGACGCTCCACTTCTGCAGCCTCTGTTCAGGACTGCGTACACCAAGATAGTGCAGTTCGTGTCACGCACAGACTTGGCATGCTTAGAGAATGATGGAGGCTCAGTATGTAACCCAGGCAAACAGGGAGGGGCGTGCATCAGCCCTGGGATCATCCAAGAGCTCTTACATGCTCGTACCCATCAAGTACCCTTATTCTGATTGCCATTGTCTGGTTGCCAACAGGTTTCCTGGCTCTTCTCGCTTAGACGTGGTCCTATTCGTTCCAATAGGATCCACTACGGTACGATTCTTACTATTCCCTAGCACGGTACCTTGTTTCTCTTAATCACGACGGTCCCAGATTCCAGGGCCCTGGCGGAACCCGTGAGCTCCTCCAGCTGTGTCGAGATGGAGGCCTACAAGGAGCCACCGCCGTGCGAAACTCTGGATACGTAGGGCCGCCGGGTTCAGGCTGGAACCGGTTTTTGGGGTTGAGAGCTTTGGGTGTCGGGCTTTCGGCTGGCTTTGGAAAGTCAGAAAGCCTTCTGCTTATAGGTTGTCGAAAAGAACTTCTGGCTTCGACTGGCCTGCAGTGTCTTCCCCGATCACTTGACAGGTCGGCTGAGGCACAGCAAGCGTGCACACACCGACCGATGCCTTCTGCTGCTTCAGCTCGTCTCGCTTTTGCAGAATCTTCTCCTGTGGAACACTTCGGCGTGGCTGCTCGAACTGAGAACCGACCCTCAGGACCCGTGTGCAAAGGACGTTTCAAATGACGAGCACTTCTCAAACCCAAGCTCCCCACTCGCGCAGAGCCACTTGACGGCGTCGTTGTGGACTAGCATTACCATCGGCAGCAATGCTTTGTGAAGGTCCGTCAGTATTTTCAGTACGTAGTAGTTTCTAGTTTTTATTGTTCCCCTTCCCAGGCAAGGCCAAGCCTTGGCAGTAGGGTTCGCCCTTTCCTGGCCGCACTCTTCGGGTGGGGTCTGAAGGGCACTTCAGCCGAATCTTCCCCGTGTTTTTCCACTCGTCTGCCATCGTGCTTTGCCTATCTGGTAATCAAGCTGTATGTAGATGCAAACTAAACTTAATCTCAAGACCTGTGGTCGCTCCTGCTCTATCCGAATGCACCTTGCTGTATGGTGCAAGACTGGGAACCGCTGAACACGTTCGTTCACCGAGCTTAAAGCAGGTCGGGCAGGCCATGAATTGAGGCGTGATCTTTTTCTCTGTGCTCTCCAGAAGGGCGGAGACCTTGGATGGTGGAACAGAAACCAGAGAGATGGAAAGTGCCGCGGCTCTAAGCATGTTGGAGAAGCGCGCAGACTCTGGGAGTGTGAGCAGGCTGAGAACTCGTACCAGTACAGGAGCCGAACCACCAAATTGAAGCCCCGAAGTCTGAACAATCATTCCATTTTGGGAGTTCCTGATTGGATTTATAGCATTTTATACCCCCAAACCCTATTCAAATTATTAAGGCCCTTTAATTAGATCCCTTATCGAACCCTTAAAGGAACCCTTGTATAGAGTCCTTAAAAGGAACTCTATTCTAAGTTTTCAAAGCCCCTAATTGTGCAGGTTGGCCTGACCCAGCTGCTTTTGCAGCCGCTGCAGTTCCTCGTCTGGTGATCGGTCAATGTTGGAAATTGCACGCCTAGTTGTCGCTTTTGGTTTCTGGGACCTGCGAGAGTTGGTCGAAGCTTGTCATTGTCGTTGAAAAGTGATCCCAGCTATGGGGGGGGGTACTAAATTTCTGTGTGCATATACATCCCCGGTCAAGCGACTTTTTGCATCTGAGCTCAGGCCACAGCTTTATCATTGGCAGAAGCGAGGAGCTGCATGACGTCTTCGCTGTACTTCTCCCGGAGCTCAGTCGAGACGTCAGCTCGGCTGGCAAGGAGAAGCCGGAGCACCTGGCTGTGGCCGTTCTCCGCCGCCAGGCGCAAAGGCCGGGCTCCTTGCCAGTCCGGGCGGTCGGCATCTGCAGCGGCGGCCAACAGCAATGCGACGGAACCTGCGAGGCCTTTCTCTGAGGCAAGATGCAAGGGACTGGTCCTTCTGAAATCAATCGCAGCCCTGGCCTCCAGCAGTCTTGAAACAAGATCAACATTGTCTCCATCAGACATGGCCGCAACGAAGAGTCGCCATGATGCACCGTCCTCTATGACGACATCCAGCTCAGCCCCGAACTTCAGCAACGGGCCGAAGACCTGGTCTTGGCCTTTTCGGCTGGCGAGCTGCAAAGGCTTTGCAGCATCGAAACGAGCTGCATTCACAAGAGCTCCTGCTTTGAGTAGCATCTCAGCAATCAGAGCATTTCCCGTCTCCGCAGCAATGTGTAGAGGCGTTGTCGGCTGAGAGTCGCTCGTATTCACATCCGCCCGAGACTCAACAAGGAACTGAGCGCATCGGTGATGGCCTTTGCGAACAGCACTCATCAAAGGGCTTACGCCGGAGGAGTTGCTTCTCTCGATATCAGCCGAAGCACCAATCAGTAGATGCACCATTCCATCATGGCCCCTGTCTGCTGCAATGTTCAAAGGAGTGAGTCCTACCCGAGTGGTGATGTTTAGGTCGCTGTCTGCTTCCAAGAGCAACTTGGCAATTTCTTCACGGTTGAAAATACAAGCATCGTGCAATGCCGAACAGCCACCGTTCCTCACATGATTCGGATCTTGGGGCTGCGTCAAGTGAGCCACGACATCCTCGACACGATTCTTCTCAATGGCCAGCCTTACACCGTCGGTGTACGCTGCTTCTGGCTCTCCAGAGCAAAAGCTCTTTTGCAAAAGCATCAGAACCCCTGGCGAATGCAGCAGCTGTTCGTCAAGCAGCTCTGTGACATCCTCACTGCTGGTGAGGCTTTGCCTAAACCGCGAAATCCCTGTCAGTTGGTGCAAATACTTCTTGAGGTCTCCGACCGTGTGCGTTTGCGACAGCTGCTTTTCATCCAGTGACACCACCAGGTTCCCACTCGTTCTCCACTGCACCAGCAACATGCTACCACTAAGCTTACAAGAAGTCCGGATACCGAACAGCAAGCGTGCTGCGGCAAATCGTGACACGCATACCGTCACCTTGGCACAGGGCGGCAGGGCCAGCATACCGATATAACCACTTGAAGGTCATGAGCTGCATGCCTTTGTACTGCAACCAAGAATCGCCTCTGTGTCCTAGTTGCCGATCACCAACCCTCAAGCTCACACCAAAAGGCACGAAGCCCAACTTTCATGGCATAGGAGAACATCCGAATCCTAGTCCGACCTAGTTACCTCGTTTTGACGGGCCCGAAACCCCAAAATCCTAGATCCTGAACCCCAAAAACGCCCACTCCTGGAAAGGAACCAAGTCCCATTCGGCCCTTGGGTCCTTCTCCACATCGATCTCCTTCTTCGGCACTGGCATGTCCACCTCCGTTTAGGCTTCGGGTTTAGCGGGTTATTGCGTTTGGGGCCTTTCGGGCAGAGCACACAGGAGAACGAAGAAGGCATGAGGCTCGCGACCTCGCCTCAATCTCCTCGGAGGCCACGATTCGAATGCAGCCTTCCGGCCTGGGCTTAGACGCTCTTGATTGTATGCTCCCGCAAAGCAGACTCGACTCAGCAGACTGCACAGTGAAGCACAAAGCTTACAGCAGCTTGGAAGAACAAATCTTGGCAGAGAATGTCGCCACAGTAATCAATGCTTGAAATGATGGGAGGTCTTTGGAATGTGTACGTGTAGCTGTGTCCGAGCGACAGTCAGCGAAACCATCTCTCTGCTTCCCGAAGCAGCAGCTACTCAACTACTGTCACTGCCCCTTAGCCTGTGAATCCGCAGGGTGTTGTGAAGCAGGCTTCGTGGGAGTTGCAATGCTGCAGGCTCCAGTAAAAAGAAGCACGGCCACGAGCCCACAAACTTCGAACGGACCTCCGCCAAGTCTTGTAACTTGCGGTCCAGGCCACGTCTCAGCTGGTCGCTCCGCCATTGGACGAGCCTGAGTTGGTCAGAACAAGAAACTTAGGATAGCTTTCAAAAAGGCTGCACTCTCTCCGAAGATTGGCTCAAGCCCTCCGAAAGAAAACACCTTCGTTTTCCTTCCCTTACAGCCAAGTCAAGAAAGCACGTTCCAAGACGGACTGGCACCTCGATCTGGTCGGGATCGGCTCTTGCAAGCCAGGAGAGGGCCGAACCTAGGAAAGAGCTTCAGCTCGAGAGTCTCGTGTGTGTGTGTGTGTGTTGATGTGGTTTCATCGAGGCTTCCTCAGCAAGAACATGCTGGCCGAGGGCTGAGTATCTAGAAAAGTACGGCTCGGTTGGTGAAAAGGGGTGAAGAGTTTGGATATGGCCATTACTATTGCGAGCTGGCAGCAGCAGGCATGGTATTTCTGAGGCTGCTGTGGTCTTGCGATGGTTGATCCTGCAATCATACATGTGCATATCCTCTCCCTCTGCATAGTGTCATTGACCAGTGATTCCCCAACCTGTGCTCCGAAAAAACCGCATGCCTTAGAGGTATCTTCCAAAAATCAAGTCAACCAAGAACTGTGATCACCCCTTCCGGGCAGACGACGCTCACTCTGCAGGGCTTCCTGCACATCAGAAGCTCGGAAGACGCTTGGCTTGGCACGTTTCAAGGCCCACGGATCCGGTACGTGCATATAAGTGCTTTTCTGATCTTAGGCGGTTTGCAAGGGCCGTGTGTTTACAAAGTGATGCCCGTTGACGTTCTTAGGACAACGGCATGAATCGGCATGACATGGGGTCATGTTCTGTGCGAGCTTGAAGGCGAGTATACAGTATACAGTCACAGCACGCTCAACATTAAGACGAGCACGTCCTTCGACCCGCACCAGTATTCCTTTACGGCGGTTGAAAGGGGTGCCCTAGTTAGTTGGTAGAGGAGTCGGACATGGGTCCTGCATGACCAGACGTCATGGGCAAGCATGGAGCTAGATCAAGGTGTTCAATGCCCAAACTGGAGGTCAACACTCGCCTGACAAACACCACTCTCGAAATTATTCGATTCTCACTTCTTCCCTCGCCGTCATCTTGAGGTCATAGTCGTGTTGGCCATTGCCCTCTCCATCTTCATCGTCATCTTCATGATGGCCATCATCACCGTCATGTTCATTGTCGTTGTCAGCAGCCGGCCCTCGATGCCCATGCTGCTACCAAGAACGGCCAGGCCTGAAATCCTGCATCGGAGCACCAGAAGGTCAATGGCAAGCGCTCCTCCGGCTTATGACTCAGGGCATCTACACATGGCCGAGTTGAGCCGGACGGACCCTCTGATCCTCTTAAGTTTTGTGAGAGAAGAAGAAGCACAGCGGTTGAGGTCGGGAAGGGCTCTTGCACCCTCAAGGGCAGCCGAACGCAGCGATACACAACAAACGGAAACTGATGTAAGTCATCGTCAATGCTTGATTCCGGGCTGGGCAAGCCCTGTGGCGGCCTTGGGGGCAATACCCTGTTCCGCACGGGCGTTGCGCACTGCAGAAGTCACGGCGCAGAGCTTTGTAAACCAACCTGGCTGGGAGATCGGGCGACATGACTGGGCGCTCTGTATGCCAACATGGGCACGAGGGTAAAGGTGTAGCTTGCGCAGGACTTCATAGCTCCGGAAAGTACAATTGATCCACCAGAGCTGTTGGCAACGAGTCCTTCCACAGCTGACAAACATACGGCCGGCAACTCGGTCGGCACTGCAAGGGCTTGAAAAATGTTGCAGAAAACTGTTAACACGACACTCGAACTAGTCCGGACTGTATAAACACAGGTCTTGCGCCACACAGACTCAGTGAAAAGATCCAATCATAAAGCCTCTTCTGCTTCCCAGTGCCCTGGGTGGACCTTCGGCCTCCTTGTCGCGTTTGGTCGCGGGCTGAGGCCTGAGTTCTAAGCCGGGAGAGCCATTGAAGTTGCCATCCCTGGCTCCAGGCTCCTGGCTCTCTAAGGCGCCGTCACTCTGACTTTCAAGTAAGCACCGGACCATGCGCTAATCATCAAAGACCGCGGAGACCTGATCGGCATAGCTGCACTGTCCGAGAATCCCCTCTTGGGCCTACATTCAAGAACCTTCTGGCTGCATTCTTCGAAATCAGGATGACTACGCCCAGATCCGTGATTGGATTGTGACTCCGCGCCAACACTTTTGGCATGTGTACATTGTCTTTAGAAGGGTGCGAGAGAAGAGAGAAAGAGAGGGAGAGCAAGTGCAGGCAAAGACGACTTCGGCAGCTCAACCGCTGAACCCCCCTGTTCGTGGACGACAGGGGCCTTCCCAGCAGAAGCAGATCTGCACATATGACTATGGGATTTCCAGTCTCGGCGTCGAGCGACTTGGTACGGGGCAGCCGCTGCCAGACTGCCTCGTGGCCGAGGACATCCCGATGCTGTCAGTTCATGTGTAAATGTATATGTACATATATATGTACATATACATTTACACACATGTATGTACACATACATATATACACACATAACATACATACATACATATATATATATATATATGTACATATATATATATATACACACATACACACACATACACTCACACCACCGACGTCGAAGGGCGGTGTGTTCTTGGATTGCTCTCAGGGCTCTCAGCACTTGGCTCTACGCTAGCCATGTAGGGCAGTGAGGCAGGTGAAGTGAACTCACATTTGAGACGGCCATGAACGTGGTATGATTCTCCGCCTCGGTCACGAACGGCATGAAGGGGTGCAGCAGCTTCAAAGATACCTGCGTTCTCCGAAGGAACACAGCTTTTTGAGAAAGGGGATTCGAAGGTGGATCCCCGGAAATGGCCTCCAGGAGGTAGAGCAAAACCTTCTGAGCTGTGGCGGCCTTTGGCTCAACCGAGGGAGCTTTTCTCTGAGCCGAAGGCGCTTTGGTGAAACTTGTCGAATCATGTCCAAGGTCACTGCGACGGAAATTACATCAGGGTTCTTGGCGAGACACGATTCGTGTTAGTGAGTCGGCGACCATGAGCATGCTCCTGCCCTGTCAGCGCATGAACCTCGCTAAACCCCGGACCCCCAAACCCAAGTCCTGGACCCTTCACCCCAAGCCCAAACCTGTAAACCGTAACAGCATTGAACCCTAAAAAAACCCTTGGAACGTCTGTTTCCCAAGCACGCAAAGGATGCAAGCCTCAGGGCTCTTCGGATCTCCACCTTTGCAGGGATGCACAGTGGGCCAGTGCAGGGATGATCTACGCATATGAACATGGGTCAGACTCTGTGTATACAAACGAATGTATACGAATTATATGTGTTTATATATGTACATACATATACACACATACACTTTCACATAGACTGCCAGTTGCATGTAGACATTTATTATCGATATCCATGTATGTGTGTATGTGCTTACGTGTGCATGTGTAGATGTGTTTAGGTGTGTACGTATGTACTCATGAATGGAGGTATGCATGTATGTGGAAAACGTATGTGTGCGAGTTTACATATACTTATACATACACACACACGCAGGGGCCAATATGTACATACGATGCATACACACTTGATAACTTACACAGGCAAACTAACAAAACACAAACACGGAAAAGCTCTCGATTTTCGAACACCTCGCGACAAACTTAGTGCAGCACCTGGAGTGTGTGGGTATCCAACATGGAGGCTTCGAACCTCTTCTGCAAAGAAGCGTCCGATCCCAACTCGGGTCAGGACCGAGGTGATCTTGCAGCCGGGTCTTTGAGGCTTCCACCTGTTGTGGGAAGGGATTCGACCCTCGACTCGTGCGCGCGTATACAGAGTTCCGAAAAAGGACACACGAAAAGGGTCAGCAAGGTGCTGGTTTACGTACATTTACTACAGACCTCCAATGGTAGCTTGCGCCGAGTTGTCTTGAGCGATATGCATAAGCCTGTGCAGCCAAACAGCACATGAAATCTCGCGACACTGACTTGTTCGAGTTTTGTAGGTTCTGCGACTAGGAGTTTAGGTTCACAATCCAGGTGTAAGAGCTTACCTTTGCCTTTTTCGCGGGCGCGTTCATTTCAAAGCCAGGCTGCAACCGATGTTGCAAGTTGGCGATCCCATGCATCCGTTGGCCGAATTAAGGTGCGGCTTTACAATGAGTTGCAAAACTCTTCGTTCACTCCAGGTTATCTGAAGTGAACAATGCTCAAGTCCACATACAGTCTCGGGCGGTACTTCAAAACTATGCTGTGGATGGTTGTTGCATATGAAGTACGGTATGGAGAACACTCCTTACTGCCGATCTCTCGCGGCGTTGGCTGTGCTGCCCTCGTGTTGAACTTCTGTCAACGTCGGCCAAAGAAAAAGCAACACTGTGGAAGAAGCTCCTTTAAGGTGCACACCGGACCTCGACGAAGCATCTTCTGCAGACGCCCAGACGCTGAGGCAGGCTGTACAGTTGCCACTGAGCTGCATAGATGGCTTTGCCACATAGTGTAGACTCAGGAACTGTTCTGCACCTGAGGCTTCCTTTCGCAGCGGTCTTTCGTAACTTAGTCAACTCTGATTTAACTCGGCTTCTTCAAGGGGCCCCGGTGTAAGAACAAGCCCGAAGTCATCCTGTGCTGTCATAATGCAATAATGTGTTGCACAGTAGAAGAGGATCTACCAGTACACCATTCGCACCTCAACATCCTTCAGGTCCAGCAGCTGACTGCGACGGTCAAGCGGGATCTTGCCTCAAGAAGACGACCGACATAACATGTTTCTTCCAGGCCTCTCGGGGCTCGAGATGCTACTGCCTCAATCCTCCAACCTGAACCAGCGGAAGGCGCGAGTTGCTGAAAAATCGCACAGGTATGTACCAGCAGTTACGAGCCGCCGCTTCCTGCTGCCGAGGTTCCCAAACAGTACCAGAAGGTCGCCACTATCTTGGTTACCCACACCTGCATTACCCACACTGGCGCTGCGATCAAGCCGTACATATGTCGTGACTCAGCGAAACGTGAAACTTTGAAATGGCCTGCACAAAAGCGAAGAGAATCGTCCAAAGCCAGAATGTCCAAACAGCCAAAGCTATTTGAACGATGCACTCGAAGATGCAGAAGGCCAGATAAACCTGAGACAGCACGCGCCTGTGATCAACCCGATGTTTGAATTCGAAACGCTAGTGCACTGAACTGGGCAATGGACTCTGAGTAGACCCTGATTTGGAAATGGTCCGGGATGACCTGCAGGGACCTTCACCAAACCCGACACGCGCCGGGTGGAAGCCCAATTGTTAATTGATGCCTCAGGGGGGCTCCAACGACTCCTTGAAACGTCCAGGCGAGCCGAGGACACGAAGGGCTTCTCACCGGCACAACACCCGATTCCTACAGCGCAAACACAACTGAAATATCTAAAACTTATCTGCCGACATTTAGCCTCATGTCCCTTGTTGGCATGGGCACGATGCCATTTAGGTATCATGGTTTTGGATTCGAGAACTGGCATTCAGCAGGCCTCACAGCCCATGATGCCGTAGCTTTGTGCTATAGGTATGTTGGCATTTCCCCGTACAGTGATGCCTTGTCCTCGCCTTCTTCATAGTACTACTATTATTGCTATTATTACAAACTAGTCGCCTTCCCTCTGGCCAATGCCAGGGAGCCGTCACCAGTGCGCGGTTAAGGTGCTTGGCGCCGATGAGACCGCTGACAGGGCCTGCTCTTGAGGGCTTCCGGAAGTATGGGCTCTTCAACCTGGAACTCTAATATGCCACAATAATTAATTCTGAACTGCAATATCTGAGAACAATACAAAGAATCGTAACAAGAGGAAGAGTCACGGCAACATAAACTACAGTAGAGGCTAAGTTGCATAGGGGCTTTATAGAGTAACTAGACATTCTTCCTAATCATATTACGGGCAAACATTGTCGCGGCACTGGCTCGGGAAGGCTTAGGATAACTCTCCCCGGCCCTGGCATGGAGCTAAGCCTGCTCCCCACAACTAAACAGGAGAACAAGAAAGCCTGAATAAGGGAATCTAGACTGTGGAACGCGACATGTACGATATGTCCAAAACAGAAAAGCATTTGCTAGTTTGGCTACGGTAAGATCATGCTTCGTGGAAGGCCGTGCATGGCAGCACGGAGTTGTTTACTTTGCGCTTTTTGGAAGGTGGGTGATCTTTTGCATTTTTGGGGCATTGCAGGTTTGCTCCTCCCATCGGACTGGCCTAGAGTGAAGACCAAGAGAATCAGCGACCAGTGGCCCCACCTGCGATCTACGCCGGCTTCAATCTCTAACGAGCCTTCCAACAACGCTTCGCGTGTCAGGTCAAGCCAGCAAGCTACTGGTTACAAGAGCGCATCAACGCAACTCTCACCAAACGAGGCAACTGGCCGTGCAACCCCATCTCCTTGCCGATTTGAGCCCATCACATCTGAAAAGGCTCCGGCTGTTCTTGCCTGGTATCCCAAACGACGGCCGTGACCACGTTCAGCACCTCAAGCTGTGCCATGTTGGCGAAAGCGCGCCGATGTCGCATCGGCTTCCTACTCTTCGACAAACGAAACCTGGTTATTCTGAAGTTGCACACACACACACACAAACACACACTCACACAGACAAAAGCGAAAGTAGAGGGCTCCGATGGAACAAACGAATACTCTGTAACCCACCTTATGCCAATCCGGGAATTGCAGCGCATTCAAACCAAGACTCCTTGCATTTAGATTCCAAGCTGTTTTGGCAGAGCCAAGCTAACAAATTGACAAGGGCGCGCGGGGTCCGCAATCATGGGACCAGGCTCACGATTCTTTTCAAACCCTTCCCATGTAGTTTCCGATTGCAACAGCTCCGTTGATCCATTTAGGCTCTCTTTCTGCTCTTACCAGTGGCAGCTACTACTACCACTACTACTACGGACGACGACGACGACGACTACTACTACTACTACTGCTACTACTACTGCGACTACGACTACAACTCCAAGTACCACTACGACTCCGGTGACTGTAGTGACTTAGAGATTATAACATCACCTTGCGCCTGATAAAGACAAGGGCCCTGGCCGTGTCCTGGCCCCAACAGGCCAAGGCACCGTGACCAGAAGGTTGATGAAGGCGAAGCACATGACGGCTGTCCGGTAGTTTAGGACGATCAGCTCCTGTCGCTGGGTGGTGAAGTTTCAAAAGGCTCAAGGCCATCAAGGACTAGAGGAAGCTTGTAATTCGTTTCTTGTGGCTTTCCCGTACATCCCACCCCTCAGTTCGAAATCCTCTCCAGTCTGAAAATTTGGCTGAAACCGGTAGAAGTCGTCGCAGCGCGCCTCCGGAGGCAGCGTGAAGATAGGCATTGGGGCCGCGTACTGCGGAGCTCCGACGATCCCGGGGCTCGGGCCTGTCATTAGGACATCTGAAAGACGCTTTGACGCGAGACTGAAAGTGTAACAAAATCTGGGTTCAGGAGCAGAATGTCCAAGGCAATACCGTCGGTCGAGATATCCAGCGCGATCGACATTAGCGCTGAGGGATGCTGACGGTGCAAACTATGTTCTGCCTCTGGTGTCATAAAGGGGGTTACCGCACATGACTTCGAAGACTGAGTGTCTACGTATACGATCGTACATCTTTCAGGATGTAGTGCCATTGATGCATAGGTTCGGATCAGTGTCGGCATGATCTGGCTCTCAATACTTGCCTGCAGCAGCTGTAGCAGAAGCAGATGCCAATCGGCAGACCCGAAAAGAAGCTGAACCCACCCCGGCCAAACGAGGCCCAACCACCAAGTCCGACGTGACAAACTAAACCCTAAACCCCAAACCCCCAAACCACTGACCCCTGCCTTTCAACTGTCAGCAACAGGAAAACATGCCACGCTCACCGACCTGGCCGACCGCGAAACCCTGTACCTTGGCATGTCTCAGAGTGCACGGATGCCTAGTTGAAGTTGCTTCTGATTCTTAGTTAAGGGGCAACCGTAAGTCCTCCGGGTCTGGGGTCACATTGGGAGAAGAAAAGCCCACTTGAGGCTGACCCTCAGGGCTACTATGAGGGTTAGGCGGCCAGAATATGAAAAGCAAAGATGCCACCGGCATCTCCCCACGCTCTGCATCCGGCCTATCCACCGCACGAGATTTTTTGGACTCTCGGGGTATAGGGTTCAGTGCGACTACTAGTCGGTTTTTATTTGTCTGTTGTTGTCAGTTGTTCTTATTATCGTATCTTGTTATAGTGTATGTTTTCTAACTACAGGATCGAGCGCGCGGGCATCCAGGGAAACATAGCCGCTTAAAGAATTTGCGGTGTCGCGGCTGCTGCCGCTTCTTGGAGGTTCGGGGGACGTGGTAAGTAGTTAGTTTGAGGAGTTATAAATACCACAACCCAACTAGGATCCCACTTTGGGCACTTATCACTCTATACTTACTACCTACTTACTCAGTCCTCGACCCTCCAATACGATGCGAGACCTAGATACGGGGAATCTTTATGGTTGAGGGTTTTGGGTTGCCGTCATTAGAACCTATCCGATGCCATTATGCTGCACCTACTACACATTCTACATCCTCTGCACTTTACTATGCGATGAGATGTTATGCCTTCTTTCACTATACTGCACTGTGCTTTACGATGCTACACTATGTTGAAGCATACTCTACTGAACTATGCCTTGCTACATTTCACTGTCCTATACTGCTATGCTCTGCTGCATTTCACCATATTCAAGTATGCCATGCTATGCCGTGCAATATTTCAACATATTATGCTACGACCATAGATACATGCATTGCAAGATACGTACTTTGCTACGTGTTACTATACTTTACGACGCTATGTTACTATACTCTTCCCGATTCCGACTCTCCCGTATGTTGCCAGGCTAAACGCTACTCTACTGTAATATGCTATGCTATGCGTTGCTATTCTGTGCTACGATAATACGTGATAAACTAGAACATTAATTTCAATCATCAGCATACTCAGTGTATCCATCATAACATTAACCAAACAAGCAGTGACGAGAAATAGCAGCAATATGACTAGTCATTGCAACACAGGAAGGTGCCAGCAATCAGAATAACAATCCTCCTCGTGTGCGGAAGGGGTGGGTCAACATCACGAAGCCTGTTTCCGTGTACTGCCGCCATCATACGCAAGTGCGCTCAGGAGCGCGATGGGCGCGAGTGTAGCAATATCTGTGACAGGCTTGAGAGATAAATGGCCAACGGCAAGCAGCAAGATGCACACTACCGTGAACCCACGCATGGAGGCTGATCCACTGTAGGAGTTTCAAAGAGCAGTCGAAATTGTGGGAACCCTAGTTCGTGATTCTTGCAGCAGGAACCTCGGCGCTTCACCACGAAAGTGAAGCAGCATTGCATTTCCTACTGCTGATAGCCCGGTCAGATGGAAAGACTAGCCGGCCCTGATACACTTCCCCCTGCAGCCAGCAGCCAGGCAAGTGTTTGGCAGCCCTCGTCATTGCGAAGTCAGAACTCATGAATGCAACTCTAAAGTCAAGACCAGGGAAGGAGAAAGCAAAAAGCCGCATCGACACATCCTAGAAGTCTAGCAGCCCTCCGAACCAAAGCTTCAAGCTCCGGGACTCAACAAAAAGCAGGTCGCGGGCACATACCACGATGCAACATCCTCCTGCAGGAACTCCTTGATCTCCTGCTGGAGCGAAGCAGGGGCGGGGAGGGGTCGTTGTGGCATCTTCTTCTTACTGTGGACTTACCCTTGGTTAGTAGGGAATGGAGGAATGGGGTACAAGTTTAACTACTATTACTACCATTCTTCCATTCCCTACTACCCAAATGTAAGTGGAAGGGGCAGCTCCGCAAGGCAAGGAGCGGCACCGAAAGTCAAGGAAAGACTGCTGCCCAGACCAAAGCCTCAACTTTCGAGTGCAGGCCAGCAAGCCCTCCAGGCAGACGGTTCAACACACTCAACCTACTGAATCAAGTTAACCCAACCAAACCAAACGACCTCTAAGAATCACAAAACGCCAGAAGTGGCTGCGAGAGCTCTGCCTTCGTAGGCGGTGCAAAGCGGTTCGCCGTTAAGGCAGCTGTCACGCTCTCGCAAAGGCCATGGCACCTGGAGAAAATCCCAGTTCGGTTCAGTTGTACTTCGACAGAGTTCGAGGCCAAGGCCAAGGCCAGTGCAAAATATTCGAGGTCTCCTCATTGCTGATTGAACTTCATAACAGGGGTCCGGCAGTAGCGGTGCAGCATTCGCACGTTGTCCGTCCGTTTAACGGCTCCCAGCTAGCGTGGTTTTACTGATGGGACTTGGGATACTAATACTATAATGTGCAAAGCTCCATATTCTGGGCCGCACAGAAAATTGGCAAAACTTTCAAACTAACCAGATCGCTGCTCCAAGCCCGCTAGAAAGTCGATTTGAACACTACAGCCCCTTAAACACACTCCTGCAAAGCTCTCTTAAAGCCCCTGCTTGAAGGCCTTAGTAACCCTAAGCCAGACAGAACCCAAGAGGTCCACTGGGCTCCAAGCTTTGAGAGCAGGGCCCTTTCCAGCCAGGGCCTCGCAGCACAAAGCGCTCGCTGGGCTCCGCGCAGTTCTTTCAGAATCTCATTGCTACCATCGCAGACGGTTCTATTATGGAATTAGGTCCCGAAAACCATGATGGGGATGGTCTTTTCGGGCCTAATTCCATAATACTGGGTATATGGTGATGACGATGATGATGATTGTTGATGTCCGCCTTGTTGTTAAATGTACTACCTTTCTTGTTATTGTTCGTGTACAGAGCTGCCCTTCGTTAGTCAGTTTAGGGTGTGCGTGGGGTTTGTGTCGAGGTCTGGAAGGTGTTCAAGGCTGATGGTCTTTAAGAATGGGGTTTGAGAGCTCCTGAAGTTTTAGGGTTTGGGGTTGGTGCAGGGCTTTTTGGGGTCAAGGTGTCGCGTGCCGTCGCTTCAGCGTTCCTCAGCTTCACGGTGACTCTAGTTCGAGGCCCGACAAGTTGGGCTTGGCAGGGCGTCGGAAGGACGTGAATCGATGCATGGATTGGCTGTCCATCTGAGTCTGAAGGCAATCTAACCGGAGGTCATGAACCCAGCAGACCTGCACACCATCGATACCCTCTGCACCCAAGAGGCACTTTCGAAAACATCTTGGACCTCCATCTCATTTCTTGCGATGCAACAACCTTTCGCAAATCCCGAGCATCGGGGTTGAGGGCTCGGCATGGAGGCGATCTCCTCCTCCGAGAACTGCATCCCGCTCTCAAAGTTCTGAGCGAGCTTTGAGACGGAGCTTCGACGTGGATATAATCCGAGGCTGCTAGGAACAGCTGATGACAGCATGGGAGCTGATGATTGCATGTGGCTCAGGTAAGCCTCTGAATCCTATGAAACGTCGTGCCGTCCTGGCATAAGGGCTCATCTTGAACCATACTGTATCAGTACACCGGGCCCCTCGCCGTGGCGATGGTCTCAGAGTTCTTCTCGTGCTCTGTAATGATGAATCGTCCCACGTTCCAGATCTTGTTCGCGAAGGCCTAGAGGTGCTGAGTCTCTCACTCTCGGAGAACGCTATCAGACCGTCATGCACCAATATACTAATTACGAATACAAGTCTTGAGTACTCTTCTTTTGAGAAGCATTCTGTGGATACAAACCGACTCTGCAAAAGAGCACTTACTGGGCCGACCCGGCCTTGGCATTCTCCAGGCCGCCTTTGCTGACGGGAACGTCCATTCCAGGGACCTTGCCATTGAGAGTTCAGGTCAAGATCTAGGTCTTCGCAGAATTTTTTCGGTGATGCACGCCTGTCTGCGTTCGCTCCGTGGCCCGAGCCGCAAAACTCAACAAACTCGAAGTTGTCTCGGGCCGCTGCACTGCTCGTCAGCAGGGCATAGCGCAGGGCGTCCGTTCCATAGTCAGCAATGGCATCCAAAGGGTCCACAACATTGCCTGGCACAGAGGCTGGGTCTGTGCGCACGCGCGTGTGTGTGTGTGTGTGCGTGTGTGTGCGCGCGGGTGTGTGTGTGTGTGTGTGTGTGTGTGTGTGTGTGTGTGTGTGTGCGCTGGTGTGTGTGTGTGTGTGTGTGTGTGTCCACCCCTGTTTCGAAGGGTAGGTAAATCTGAGTCGAATGAGCAGGGGGCCCGGAGAGCCCGAGTGAGGTCCGGGCCAACGAAGACCCTCACTCGGTGCTCGTGTAAACGTACCTGCAAATCAGTAACCCTAGAGCGCTTTAGATCACAGGTTCTGACTTCTCCTGACAGCTTTCGGCAATATGCACTGACTTATCAGACCTGCGACACGATGTGTCAAGTGTGCTTCACAACGGCATTCCCTATGGGCGCCGTGTCTCCCAGAGGTAGCTCTGGCGCTGACTTTCCCGATTGATTGCATAAGCATTGGATGACTTCCCTTGACTTTATATCCATGCTTGCATG